AGTGGTTCTGGCACCTGCCTTGCAAGCGCAAGGTCCCAAGTTTGATCCCCGGTACCAAAAAAAAAAAAAAAGAATGAAACGGGACCCTTAATTTACACCATACACAAAAATCACCCAAAATGGATTATAGCCAGGCATGGTGGCACAGGCCTATGATCCCAGCACTTTGAAGGCTGAGGTAGGAGGATCCCAGCAAGTTCGAGGCCAGCCTCATTGGGCTGTATAGGGTGCAGGACCAGCATGAGCTAGTGAGACCATCTCAAAAAACAAAACAAAACACCGACATCCTAATTTCATTTAAAACAGTAAATGACTCGCACAATATGTTGGTGCTACAATGAATACGGGCATTAGACGCTTCCTGAATAAACACCTTCTCGGATGCACATTCCAGAGGTCAGCGCATCTAACTTACAGGAAGTCAGGTTAATACAGAAATGCAGGGCTGGGATTTGGCTCAGTAGCACTGTGCCCGCCTCGCAACCGCAAGGTCCTGAGTTTCATCCCTGGTACCCCCCAAAAAAGAAAAGAAATACACAAATGTACTGCTTTCCTTATCTAATTATGTAAGATTTTCACACTTGACACGAAGCTTTGTGTGCTATAAAAAGAACACAAACAGCAGGAAATCACCCAGAGCAGCCTGTAGCCTGCCTGCGTGGACAGCCCATGGCCGCCTTGGGCTCTGCAGTGCACCGTCCCTAACCAGGCAGGTTCCCAGACAACAGACTGAAGCGATCTGGCACCTCAAACCGCTCAATGTGTTGCAAAATGCTCTGTACGGTCCGGTTAGGTAACACATACCTTAAAACCTATAAACAGCCAGGCGCCGTGGCACACAGCTGAAATCCTGGGTACTGAGGTGGCTGAGGCAAGAGGGGCAAAAGTTCAAGGCCAGCCTGGGCAATTTGGCAAGACCTTGTCCCAAGGTAAAACATAGGGCTGGGGTGGAGCCTGCCTAGGACACGCAAGGCCCTGGGTTCAATTCCCAGGACTGCAAGAGAAAGTCAACTACTTTTACTGAAACCTGTGTGTGGCACAGAAGCGCTACACAAGAATCGGTCGCAACTGAGTAAGCACTTCTGGGTAGGGCGCATGGTGCATGCCGTAATCCCAGCCCTCAGGAGGCTGCAGCCTGGGCTGCACGGTGCACACAAGGCCTGCCTAGACTACATAGCAAGGCCCTGTCTCAAAAACAAAAGGAAAAAAAATTCATATTTTTAAGCAGGTGCAGTGGCCCACACCTGTAATCCCAGCATTCTAGGAGGCTGAGGCAGTAAGATCGCCAGTTCAAGGCCAGCCTGAGCACCTTAGCAAGAGCTTGTTGCAGAATTTAAAAAGGGCAGAGGATGTGGATCAGTGGTAAAGCACCTTAGGTTTCATTCTTAGTACAGGCAAAAAGAGAATGAAAGAGAAAGAATTTACAAAACAAAGTATATACAAATTAGAATTGTGGGAATAAAATTATAAGAAGTCCTGAAGTGAAAAAAAAAAGTTATCATATAGACAAGAGGGCAAAATAATCATGGAAAAGATTTGGTTCTTTTTGTTTTTTGAGGCAGGTAAGAGTCTCACTAAGCAGCCCAAGCTGTCCTTAAACTCATGAAGACCCTCCTGCCTCAGCCTCCCAGAGTGCTGGGATTACAGGTGTGTGCCATCAGGCCTGGCCCAAAATTCAGTTCTATTACAATGACTGTGATACCAGTAAGTGTGCTTAATTTTTTTTTTTTTTTTTTGAGAAAGGGTCTTGCTATGCATTCTAGGCTGGCCCAGCAATCTTCCTGCCTCAGCCTCCTAAGTGCTGGGATTACACGCATGGGGCACCATGCCTGGCAGTAAATGTGTTTATAAGCACAACACATTCCTAACAGTGTAATCACAGATTTCTAATTTTATTCTGATGGCAGTTATCAGGTCATTAGTCTGAGAAATTTCTAGAAACCCAGATGAACACCTCAGGTTAGAAGAAATGGACACCCATGAAGGAACTGCTCTAGGGGACACGTGAATAAAACAGCTACCTTCCCAGACATGCAGGAGCAAGTGCGAGATGCTGAGTCCTCAGGGAAGAGGAAATCGATGTGGCCCTGTTGCGAGGCTGAGGAAGCAGAGCCCTCCCACCAGTCTCCAGGCCTCTGCCACCTGCTGGCTGCTCCAGGACACACTGGGCCTGGCTGCACACTGCCACGGCGTAGAAGGTGCAGACCCACACAAGCACAGGACCACGGCAGTGCGGCTTCTGTTGGGGATTCTCATGATCAATTTTAAACACACAGTACAGGGAAGATGAAAAAATTCATATTTTATTTCCTGTTAATATCCCGCTATAGATTCAAAATGTGTTTCAGAACCTTGGCCAGCTCCACAGCGCCAGGTGGGAATCTCCCTCAGTCAGGTGGCTCGGCCTCGGTGGGTCTGGGAGCGACCGGGGACAGCACATGCCAGCGCTCCCTAAGGGACAGCTAGGGCCCCGGCACAAGGGCTCCATCCTGTCAGCCACCTCCTCAACTGGAAAACAATCAGATGAATGCACTTCCTTCCTTCCATCTTCATTTCAATACAACTTTAGAGTGGAGAAGAAGCTCTCCTGTGTTTGTTAAATCTGGTCAAGAGATGGCTTTGAGTGTTTTCTTCACTAATGTACAATTTTCTACCCCGTCTTCACACCTCGTTACAACCGGTTTGGCAATAAGACCTCTAGTGCGCTTCAGAAAAACCTCATCCGATAGATTTTCAGATTCTTGAATTCTTTTCAAGACACTGAATTATAAGAAAGTCCAAAAAACATCTGAACACTCACCAACACCACTGGAGCCTGTAAATTATTGCAAATAACCTCACATAGGAGTGTAATTCAAGGATAAAACTTTGAGGAAGGGGACATAAAATAAATACTACAACATTTCTTCAACTCTATTTAATGCTGCCTGGGTTAGATGAAAAGATTAGTATTACTAACAGCAAGAGTCAAACTATGGTAAGAACTGTTTTCTAAGTAGTTAGAACAATTCCCCAAAACAAAGAGAAGCCAGAGCCCACATCAATGCGCCTTTCCTGTAATGACATATAATTGCGAGGATGAGGTACAATCTGTGAGCAATTAATACAAATATAAACAGGAATGAGCTACACTAAATCCGTCTGGTGAAACATGTCTCATGGCAGCAGTCTGGGCAGGGCAGAGCAGGGCAGGGCAGGGGAGGGAGGGAAGGGAGCGAGAGGAGAGGGCGGAGGGCCGGTTTCCAAGAGGAACCTTGCATGCCCACCTGCCCACCACCAGGCCTCCCACCTTCCCACAGATGCTGCCCCAGAACATGAACACGTTCCACGTGACACAGGAAGATTATTGAAGAATTGCTAATGCCTCATTTGCATTTATATTTGGGTATATATGCGTATCAAAAATCATCAACAAAATTTTTAAAACACTTTTATCTCATTCTGGAAAAGTTAACAGTTAAGATGAATTACACACTACAAAACTTTCTAATGTATCTAAGCTTGGGGAAACCTTACCACCACTTTAGTAAACGGTTTGTGCAAAACCTTGAGTTCACTCATCTTTTTTACAGATACATTTATTACATGAGGATTGTGATCCAATGATTGTTTAGCAGCAATTTTACCAAACTGTAAATTCTTTTATTAACAGGCATTATAAACAGATAATACTAATCTTATTTAAAAACCATGAGTGCCACACCGGTGAATATACAGCTCATGAATAACTTAAGTATTTCCCACTTAAAAGGTAACGCACAGCATACAAACCCTACCCTAAACAAAGAAGCTGGACTGTGGATACATGATTGATGTGTCTAAAATGATGTATGTACAGTACATAATTAACGTTAATTACATGAGCTGTGCATCTCTCCCGTTCCCTTCATGCTTCACTCTCCCCGGAAACTGAATTCTGAACTTCTTCTTCTAAAATTGGTACAATCAAGTTATCCTTGGACATCAAATTATATTTCATCACAAATTTAGTAAACCGATGACATAAAAATGTTTCATTCTGTAGAAAGGAAGAAAGACATGTTATTTTACTGTCTAAAATCACAAAAGCAGGAGTCGTGACAACAGAGTCAGGAAACTCAGTGAAACATACTTACTTCATATTCATCAAATATCTGCCGGTGATGGAAATAAGCATGTGAAAATATTCTGTAAATCCTACGACACACGGATCCTAGTTTTGCTACAGATGATTCTTTTATGCTAACCCTGAAAACAGAAAAGAGACCACAGACTCCCTGAGCTGGTCAGATGTCAGGGCTCACAGCCCCTCCTTGTGGACGAGTGCAGACAGCCCCCAGGGATGTGCAGGGGCACCCGCCGCTGCTCTCCCTCCCTGCGGCCACAGGACAGTCCCACATCACCGTGCTTGGAAGCTCTGCTAAGGAGCCATGCGGTTAAAGCGCACCCGAGATAGCTCAGAACCTACCAGGACATACATTTTACCAAACTAATACTTTCTCCCCTAGACATGATTAAAGCTGCTAACAAGAATTTTTACTCTAAAGAAGTGGATTTTATGTATTTTTTGAGAATCAAAATATGTCTGCATATTTGATATTCCTTTTTTAAAGTATGTATACATATAAGGAGGCAAAAATCAGTTTTTATTTTTTGGTTTTTTCCAGTACCAAGGACCTAACTCAGGGCCCCTGCTTGCCAAGCTGGCAAAGCGCCGCTGAGCTACATCCCTGCCCCACCAGTACTCTTTTAAAAACATACTTCATATGAGCTTTTTGGAGCAATCTCACTGGGGGAAAAATCTCCCAGTCCATCTCTGGGTCACAGGCACCTGGCAGAGAGGAAGAGCAGCTGTGCATCCCAGCACTAACAAACATACACAGCTTCTTCCCAGATCTTAAAAGCTAAGTCAGGCGTGGTGGGGCTCGCCTGTAATCCCAGCACTCGGGAGGGAGGCTGAGGCAGGAGGATCTCCTTGAGTTGGAGGCACACCTGGGCTACAAAGGGAGACCCTGACTCACCCCCCCCCCCAAATAAAACTGTAGGCAGGCCGGGGATTTAGCTCAGTGGTGCTGACGCCTGCCTCGCAAGCACAAGGTCCTGACTTTGATCCCCATACAAAAAACACACACCTGTAGTCAAGAATAAGGAATCATGTTCAAAAAAGGTGTGTGGGGGGATCTTGTCAGGTGTGGTGGTGCACACCTATATTCTAGGGCTCAGGAGGCTGATGCAGGAGGCTCTCCGGAAGATTTCGTTCAGCCTCGGGTACATAGTAAGTCTAAGCCACACTGGCCTACACAGTGAGACCCTGTCTCAAACACAAAACAAACAAAGGAATTGTTCGCACCCAATCCACCCAGCCAAGGAGAGTCTGCCCCTCTGCCGGGCAGGCAGCCTGCTTGAGGGCGGTGGAGAGCGGAGGAAGCCGGTGCAGGCCCCGCCCCGCCCCGCCCAGGGATGGCGCAGGGCCACCAGGGAGTGCTGGGCAGCTGGGGGCCTGGCCAGCTGCTTAGCCAAATTGTAATGCAAAACTCAAATGAGTAAACAGGCCAAACAGTCCACAGCTTAAAACACAAACGAGAAAGCACTGATTTAGTCTTCAGACACCAATTTTAAAATTAAAAGCAAAAAGTTTACCACCGTGTTTAGAAGTTGTGCTTACCTGCTGGGAAAATATTTATTGCTATTGAGAAGGCAGGCAGCACCGTCCAGCGTGTGTCTGGTGTAGTCTATGGCCGGGCACTAAGAGAGGAGGGCGGCGTCAGTGGAAGCTGCCCGAGGACGTAGCGCCCAGGCCCGCGACTCGGCCCTGCACGCTACACTGTCGGGTGACCACAGCAGACGACGCTGCACCCTGAAAGTAAGCTTCCGGAAGACACAGGAGCCAGCCTCCCGACTTCATTCCCAGCTCCCTTCACACCCAGAAGGGAGCAGTGCTCAGAGAAGAAGGTCTCCTCCTTAACCAGCTCCGGCTCCTACCATGCCGCAGCTGGCCTTAAGCAGCAGGAGCGACCCCCAGCCGCCGTCTGTCGGTCCCCGGCTTCCTGACTGTGGCGATCCCGAGAGCTGAGGGACCGCCGGTCCCATTTCCTTTCTGTTTGTGTGTTTGTGGTGACCCCAGTTCACATCACTACCACCCTGCCTAGACTGAGACCCTCTCACAGAGCCGGGCTGGGACGCTGCAATGTCAAGACTCGCTGTGGGCCCCGATGCTACCAGCGAGCCAAACTTCCCGTACCAAGGAAGAAACAGCTAAGACTCACGATACACCGCAAAAGTGCACTGCACTTCTAGTTTAAGTGAGATTTACTAGCTACCAAAAAGAAATGGGCCTTCTTGACTCAGTTTCCCAGCAGCGCTCACCATTTGCTAGACTAAGCAGTCAACTTCAGTGAATTATGAAGGAAACTAGAGGGTCTTCCCAGATACAGACCCACACACACTGGGAACACAGTTTCAAGTCAGTAACAAAGGAAACTGCTCTTCCTAATAAGCACCATTCGCTCCCACAAGTACCAGACACTGCTTATTTCGGAGAATTTATTCTTTTTTTTCCCCAATCCCTGCCCTGCCTGGAATTTTATTCGTTTTCAAACGTAAGAACACCAAACTGATTTTGCAACTACAGTCACTTGTCTTCGAGTCCTAAAGGCCTGCCAATAGAATGATACCTGAAGGTCTACATGTGACAGAACTGGCCTGATTGTCAAATAAAAAGGAATTACTACAGACTTCAAAAAATGCAGATCAGGGGCCCGAGATTTAGCTCAGTGGCGCTACACCTGCCTCAAAAGTGCAAGGTCCTGAGTTTGATCCCCAGTACCAAGTGTAGGGCCAGGGATTTAGCTCAGTGGTTCCAGCACCTGTCTCAAAAGTGCAAGGTCCTGAGTTTGATCCCCAGTACCAAAAATAAACAAACAAACCAACCAAGTGTAAAGACCCTTTGTGAGACAGCTAAGGAAAAGTGAATACATACTGGGTATTAGGTGACATAAAATGCAAATTTTTTGAAAGTACAATAAACAATTGCTACTCTACTTGGGCGAACAAGACAGAAAGACTGAGAGTTCAAGGCCAGCCTAGGGAACTCAACAAGGTCATGTCTCAAAACCAAAACCAGGAAAAAAAATCAATCTTAAAAGGGCTGGGGATATAGCTTAGCACTCCCTGACTCTAACCCCTAGTACTCTGAAAAAAAGAGAAAAAGGAGAAACAAAATCACAAACTGCTACTGCCAACTAAATGAGAGAAATAGTAGGAACATTAAAAATCCTGAAACTAACACTGCTACCCACAGACTAGGCATTAATGAGTAACCAGCAGTTCTTGCGATCAAAAGAAATTATGATTCAGCAAAATCTAGGTACACCTGAACAATTACCCAGTGGACAGGAACGACGTCATTTTCTGATAGCCAGTATATCAGGAAGTGAGTTCTAGTGCATGCAACTCCTAAATAACAAAAAATGATGCTCATCATAAGAAATCCTGAAGCAGAACTATGGAAAGAACTTTCAACCAAATAGCAAAGTAAACAGTGAATTAAAAACTCTAAAATGTGCCAGGTGTGGTGGTGCACACCTGTAATCCTAGCACTTGGGAGGCTGAGGCAGGAGGATCACTGTGAGTTCAAGGCCAGCCTAAGCTACATAGTAAGTTCAAGATCAGCCGGAACTATACAGTGAGACCCTGTCTCAAAAGCAAAAACATCAATCTCTAAAACATGTTTACCAATGTCCTGGAGTTAGGATGATTCTAACCAACATTCTAGTCCATAACTCCTCACCTCTTTAGGCGTTTTATGAGCAGCACAAAGAAAAATCCATTGTTCAGTTGCTGTCATCTGAGTACAAGTATCTGGATGGCATTCGCTCTGTTAAAATAATTGCATAAATAAATAAATGTATTTCTTAGTATGAAAAATAATAGTGAAAATGTTTATCATTATGGTTACTACATCTCCACATAGATTGTAAAAAGGAAATGACCAGATAATATGGGTAAGTCTCTAAAAGCACAGTGAGTTACAAAAACAGAGAAAAATATCAGAGCTTCAATTACAGCTTTAACTTAGAACAAAATACTACCTGAAGTTTAACAGCAAGTCCATTTAGTTCAAGGCAGAATTGCCTGAAATGGAAACACATGAATGAAAAATTAGATTTATTCTGCACGGTGTCTCATTGTGTGGCCCCACCTGGCCTGAATGCTGGGCTCCAGCAGTCCACCCACCCAGCCTGCAGAGTAGCTGGGATGGGCTCGCACCTGGCTCCATGGTTATTTTTCTTTCAAACTTACAGATTAAAAAACAAAAAACAACAACCCAAATCATGTTCCATGCAAGAGTCTAATAAGGTAATCACTGTCTTATTTATATTATTGGTCTAATTTTTCTTACCCAATTTTTTCTCTTTTTTTTTGGTACCACTTGCACAGCAGGCAGTGAAACCACTGAGCTAAATCCCTGGCCCAACTGGTCTAATTTTTCTGGGAAATAATTTGGAAATATTCACCAACATCTTTAGGAAATATGTACTTTTGGCTAAGTCATTCTTCTAAGAATCTGTTGCATGAAATAATCAGAACTGAACACAGATGTATTACAAACATGTTCACAGGAACTACATATGAGGATATTTTGAGATAATCTTTTTTTTTTCCTTGGTACTGGGGATTGAACTCCGGACCTTGCACTTGCGAGGCCCCGAGCCCTACTGTGAGATATTCTGTAACAAATGGAAGGTAGTAAAATGTTGGTGTATACATAAACATACAAAGGATAAATATCTATGGGTAGTAGGATTCCAGTTATATAAACAGACATGGGGGGGGGGGGAAGACTGCATGTTTCATACTTACAAGTATTTTCAGAGTTTTGTTCTAACTACAACTGACACACCCCTTAAAAACTTCAGGGCTCCAGGTGCAGCTTGGTGGTAAAACTCTTGCTTGCCTAGCCTGTGTGAGGCCATGGGTTCAAGCTCCAGCACCACAAAAATTTTTTAAATAAAAAAACTTCAAAAATTCCCAAATATATAATGTTGAAAATCTAAATTCTTCATAATTCCGCCACCTTCTACCAAAAATAAGTATGATTTACATGCAAATTTTCTTTATGTACAGATTAAAATATATACAGATAAAAATCATATAACTTTCCAACTTGCTTTTGTTACTTAATATATCTTGGCAATTTTTTCGAGATATACTTTCCTTCTAAAGCTGACAAATTGGGAATTATAAGGCCTATACAACAACTAAAAGTAAGTGCTCAATAAATATTTTTTAGTAAATGGAGAAAGGAGGAAATTCTAAGACACAGAAGTGACTGGTTTTACTGCTGTCAAAGTACTGTGTGACCAGGCCCTCCTAACATGCCTTGGAGCCTATGGACTAACAACACGAGCTAAAATAAACTTCTCCTCAATAAAACACACAACTGGGGCCGGGGATGTAGCTCAGTGGTGCCTTGCCTGCTTTACAAGGTCCCGAGTTCGATCCCCAGTACCAAAAAAAAAAAAAAACCAACATACAGCTGTTACGTGTTCCCTCCAAGAATGCTATCTAGTAACATTTAGTTCACGGTAAAAAATAGATAATCACAATTATTCCAACAAAGAAATGATGCAAAGCTAAACCCTATATAATTGGAAGATGAAAGAAAGGTCCAAATGATGAAAAAATACATATGAAACTAATTTGGTAAAAGAAAGCTACACTTATTTATTTGCAAAGTTATTTTAGGCACATTATAACAGAATAGAGAAGGGTCAAATTTTCAGTTGTCTGTAATCGTATTTCCTCTCTAGGTCCCAATGATGCTGCTATGAGAATACAAAAATAAAATTATTTCTGGTGCACCCATTGCCTTCTACTGCTCGCTCTTCAAGGCTTCCTGGTGAGCGTTTGTGAGCTATTTCCTGCTAAGTGGTGAAAAAGACAGCGAGTCTCACTGAGCCCAGCTGTCTCCAGCCAACATCGACAGAAGTACCCGAGCCGACTTTGGGACAGGAACCGTGTGTGGTAGACAGGGTAGGAGCCCAACAGCCAACGCAAGTTAATCCAGCCCGGGGCTAACACAGCTGTGCAGGTGAAGAGACAAACCAGAGTTGAAAGTCAGCCTAATGCTGCAGCAGCAAGCATGAATCCTTCGAGGACTTGTGTCCACTCAAAGCAAGGCGCCTCGCCTAACCGCAGCACTCAGTGAGAGCAAGCGAGCGAGCGAGCAAGCCGGAGCGCTGAAGGGAGATGCCGCTCCACGGGTCCTTGGCCTTCGCCACCACAGCAAGCAGACAGCCTGCACTCGGTGGCAGCGAGCAGATGCACACCCTCACAGGCTGCTCGGAAACTTCTGGGTCCATATGACACAGAAGACAAGAATACATGTGTGCTATTAATACATGAATTCAAAACCTTCCAAAAATGGTCAACAAGAAAAAATAGCACAAATAAAGTAGCACTAGGACAAATAGAACAAAGCTTATATAAAATTTTTGTAGGTTTTATATAAAGCATACCACATACCACAGGTTAAATAGAGAAGAAAATGTTTTCTTAGATGTGAAACATAACCCTTGTACACTAAAACCAGACATCACCTCTTAGGAAATATAGTCACAGTGAAAAACAAGCTCAGTGGAGGCCGAAAACAGAGCAGGTGCTGGCCCCTAGGTTCATCCCCACCATCCAAAAGAACGCTTGAATTCAGGACCAGCCTGAGCAATACAGCAAGACCCTATCTTGAAAAAACAAAACAAACAAAAAAGCTGGGTGCAATGGCACACACTTGTAATTCCAGTTATGTGGCAGGCTGAGGCAGGAGAATCACATGCCTATATTCATTCGAGGCCAGCTAGGACAACTTTGTGAGACCCTTCTCAAAATAAAAAATAGAAAAGACAGGATATAGCTCAGCAGTAGAGGACCCTTGGTTCAATCTCCAGTTCTATAAAACAAACAAGCAAATAATAAAAAGCACATTGGCTTTCAACATCAATACAAAAAGATAAATATATTTGAAGCTGATTAAAATAAAGAAAAAGAGGGCCAGGGATTTAGCTAAGTGGTTCCACCGCCTGCCTAGCAAGTGCAAGGACCCAAGTTCGATCCCCAGTACCAAAAAAAGGAAAAAGATGTAATAATACACTAAAATGTTCTGTAAGGTTATAAAAAGTGGGAAAATATCTATAAACTCATACTTTTAATAGATCTGGCTGTGTATGGCGGCACAAGCTTACAGTCCCAGATACTTAGGAGGCTGAGACAGGATTGCTTGAACCGAGGAGTTGAAGTTCAGCCTGGGCAACACAGTAAGATCCTGACTCAAAAACAACAAAACAAAACAAACTGTAGCTATAGAAAGCACTAGGTGCTGGGTTTGATCTCCAACACACACATGCGTGTGCGCGCCCAACAAATACTCTGATCTGACCAAGAAATTGGCAACGTGTACAAAGTCTCAGCACCCTAAAACTGCTGAACTGTTATGATAAGACATCACACCTTAGCAGTATCTGAACCAGCATACAGCATCGAGAAGTTTCAAACAACAAAAGTGCCTTGCCTGATAGTTAAGGCACTCATCATCGGAAACATGGCTTCAGTTATTCAGGAAGCCACCTTTCTACTTCACTCATTATCTAAAAATCTACCCAGCAGGAATCCAAGCTCTCCCCAACTGCCTACTCTTCCCAGCCCAATCCCAGAAGTGGCCTGAAATTCAGAAACACCCAGCAGCCTCAGGATACATACAGCCACTTCCACAGTTACCTCTACCCTTGCACCCTCAGCAATTTTCCCATTCAAAGACACAGTGGAAAGCAGAAAAAGTCCGCACTCTTAGGATTACAATTAATCTCCATCTACTTAAAGGAGGCCTGGAACTTTTCAGTAGTTCCTAGGTAACTCTACATATACCAAGCATAGTTAGACCTAAAGGTGACCTTGTATAAAGAAAGGAAGTTTTTCATGAGTGGGGAAATGAACCTAACACAGCTGAGGTTAAAAGATCTGATTAAGGAAAATCATTTGGAAGTCCATAAATGTACAAACCTGCACAGGCAGCTCTGCAACCACCTTTCCAAGAAAAGACTCTGCATTGTAATTTAAAGTGGAAACAATCAAGGAGCAAGTGGAGAACTCTGTAGGAGACAAGAGCTTTACAATCTGGATTCTGATCTGCAGTTACACAGTACTGCACTGATTCACAGCTATCACGAACAGGCATCTGACCAGCAGGCTGTCACTACCAAGGTGATCCCTCACCAGGGCCTACCTTAAGTGTTCATACTTCCACACACCTTCGTCTTGGCCTTCAGGTGGTTCAAGGATTTTGTCAATATTGGAGCAATCTGCCCTTATGTTCTGTTGAATATACTATGAACAAAGAGGTTCTCATGGTTAGAATATTACACTATAGGGGAGGTCATGTTAAAATATACAAGTTTTGAATATATAACTGCTTCTTGTGGTTCAACTTTTGGGTTACATACTAAAAAGAAAACCAAATTTAGAAATATAATAGAAATACCTCAGAAGAAAGGAAGTAATCTTGAGTTATTCTCCAATTCAAATTCACTGGAGATAGAGTATTTATCAGGATTGGAACTGGAATAAAAATTGCAAACCACTCTGAAATCCCAACATTCTGGGAGGCTGAAGCAGGAGAATCATAAATTTGAGCCCTGCTCAAGTGATTTAGTAACTTAGCAAGACTCTGTCTCAAAATAACATAGAAAAAATAAGGTTTGGGGTACAGTTCATTGTGAAGGCCCTGAGTCCAATCCCCAGTACCAGAAAATAAATACATACAAGCCATAATCTTCATTCATATGAGCGTAAAATACAGACAATGTAAATATAACTGTGTACGTACTATATGATGACATTTGTATAAAGTGCTTAGAAACAACAAACCTAACAGAAATGGAAAATGGATTAGCAGATGCTTAGGGTTGGGGAGGAAAGAAGACTACAGGAAAATGCTAATGAGGACAGTGTTTCTTTTAGGGTGGTTGAAAGTTCTAAAGGAGACTTTGCTGGTGGTTTTATGACTGAGTAGAGAACCACTGAGTTTTACATTTTTAAATGGCTATTTTTATGTTAATTATATCTAGTAAAAGTTGTTTTAAAAAATGACAAGCAGAAAAACTAAGTTGAAAACGGCAGAGAGGGATGGTTACAGACAAGCAATAAGGTGCCTCCCTAGCATCCGTAAGGCCTTGGGTTCAATTCCCCATACAGGGTGGGGGTCACTTTCAACTAAAAAATATTAACATAAAACTTTAAATTTCAGATCTCTTTACTGTTTCATCCATTCTACAATTCTGATACCCTGAAATCTGGATAGGTAGAGATTTGAAGTCTTGGTTATAAAAGTTTATTAACTCTAAGTCTTTCTTCAGCCAATCTGTACCTTCCCTATTTCAGGTCATCCTTCTTGAACATGGTCACTAGCTCACACAAATATTTTTCTGGGACTGGGATTGAGCCCAGGGGCTCCATCTATCACTAAGATATATCCCTTCTCTCTTTTTTTTTTTTTCAGTACCGGGGATTGAACTCAGGACCTTGTGCTTGCCAGGCAGGCACAGTACCACTAAGCTAAATCCCAGCCCTCTATTTTTTTGAGACAGGGTTTCACTAAGTTCCCAAGGCTGGCCTTGAACTTATGATCCTCCTACCTCAGCCTCCTGAGTAGCTGGGATCAAAGTGTGTACTACTATGGGCTTGTAGTAGCTTGTACAGGCTTGATGTAGCTTGTAGTCCCAGGTACTTGGGAGGATGAAACAGGATTGCTTGAGCCTAAGAGTTCAAGGCCAGCCTGGGCAACTTTGGAGACACCATCTCAAAATAAATAATAAATGCACTTTAGGGGCTGGGGATGTAGCTTAGAGAACGCACGCGCTCAGTGCACTTGAGGCCCCATGTTCAGCTGCGCGCCGTGCCCCGCCCCGCGCCTGCACACTTTAGAAGGAGGGTCGGGAGGCAGGGAAGGCGAGACACTGAGTAAGGTTATAGTTGCCAAAGACAGATCTGACAAGTCAGGGCAAAGTAAACCAAACCTCAGGAAGAGTCATCATCTAGATACCCTAAAGAGCACATGTCGCCTATCAATATGCACACTTTGTGTTTTTGTGTATCAGTTAAAAACGAATTTAAACTAAAACATCTGTGAGGCAGTGACAGTGTGACCATTACGAGGAGTTTGGAAGCCCGGCATGGTGGTGCACTCCTGTAATCCCAGTACTCGGGAGGCTGAGGCAGGAGGATCACTCTGAGTTCGAGGCCAGCCTGGCTACAGAGTGAGTTCAAGGCCAGCCTGGACTGTCTCAAAAAACAATCAACCAAACAAACCAGGGTTTGGAAGTTGCATGGTGAGACTCAAGAGCTTCAGTGCAGTCTGACAACCAAAAGACAGCAGCTGCAGCTTACACTGAGCACAGGAAGCAGTTCTTGCAAAGAAGGAACCTGCTCCTGGGGGACACTGCAAACCCCACATCCCAGGCACAAGGGGCACAGACTGCTCCTAACAACTTAGTGCCAGGGCTCGAGAGGATGGTTTCCAGCCTTCAGAGTTCTCCTATGGGCAGCCAGGCGCACGCCTGTTATCTCAGCACGTAGGAGGCTGAGGCAGGAGCCTGTTTCAAAAACAAACAAAAGGGCTGAGGATTTAGCTCAGGGATTCCACCGCCTGGCTCGCAAGCAAAAGGTCCCGAGTTCAAACGCAGGTACCGAAACAAAAATCTCCTGTGGGTAAAATGCTCAGGGAAATCTTTCATAAAAGGCAGTCAACCTCTGTGGGAAACTTCACAGCTTTGCTGGTCTTGGAGACTGAACCCAGGGAGCAGGGGGCTATCACCAGCCCTTTTTGGGTTTTTTTGTGTTTGTTTTTTGAGACAGGGTCTTACTATATAGTACAGGTTAGCCTTGAACTCACTATGTATCCCCAGGCTGGCCTGTCTTTTTTGTTTTGTTTTTTTGGTACCGGGTTTGAACTCGGGACCTTGCACTTGTGAGGCATGTCTTTTTTGTTTTTTAAGACAAGGTCTTGGTATGTAGTGCCTTGAACTCATGGCAATCCTCCTGCCTCAGCCTCCCAGGTGCTGGAATTATACAAGAGTATCACCACACTCAACATAATTATTAAATTTTGTTAAGTGGGGTTGCAACATTTTATTAACCTCAACTTATATAAAACCTAAAAGAAAATAACAGGAACCTTCTTGTTTTGTTCCCTGAGCAGAGCCCTCCACTTTGAGGCAAATAGAGACAGCTATCATTTTTATAAAATGACCTAATAGAAACATATCTCCTAAAGCGCTCCGAGTATCTTTTGCCACATGAAACTTTTTGCATTGTTTCTGGGTTTCCACTTTCAGCTTCTTTTCACAATGGTATTTTCATCAGCCTCACATGTCTAAGGACTATAAAGATTTACCCTGAACCTGTTCTCTAACCTCTCACACATCATACTGTGATGTATCCCTAACCTAGGATTCTTTTTTTCATGGACACCACAAGACAGAAAAATATGAAATAAAAAAGCAGCAATTAGCCCTGTCAGGAAAATACAGATTATCTTTTTGCTTGTTTGTTTTCTGCACTGGGGACTGAGCCACAAGCTACAACCCCCCTGCACATACTTGAGTATCTCTTCCACTTTATTCCTTAATGATGCTGATTAGTAACTCAAAACATGAACAGATGTGGGCCAGGGATTTAGCTCAGTGGTTTCGCTGCCTGCTGTGCAAGCACAAGAACCAGAGTTCGATCCCCGGTACCAAAAAAAAAAAAACATGAACAGATGTACCGCTGCCATGTAAAACTTTTGGTGAATTTTAATACTAAGAGTTTTTGAAACCAAGTAAACCAAACACCTATTACTTTAGAAACTGGTTTTGAAATCTTTAATAGATTTTAAGAAAAAAATCCAGAAGACAACCTCCAAAGAGTAGGTCTTTATATTTTCACATACTTTAAAATCTTAATTTAGTTTGTTTCCTGTTTGCTCCACTGCCATGCAGTCCTGTCTTGGAGCCAGCCAACTGTGGACTGAAATGTGAACCAAAAGAAACTTGAGTTGTGTAGTGTTGTGGGTGTTGGGGATTTTGTCCCAGCAATGAAAGAAGTAACGAGACAGATTTTGGTACTGGAGAAGTGGGGTCGTGGTTGTGACTGAACCTGACTGTGTGGTTCAGAAGCCTTTAGAACTGGTTTGCAGGAGTTTGGAAAGATTTGGAGATGTTGGCTGGAGAAGCAGCCCTAGAATACTGTAGGTCAAAGTTGAAGGGAGATTCTGGTTACAACTCAGAAGACAGGAATGCTGATAGGAATCCAGCCAGAAAAGACCAGGTTCAGGTTTCAGTTGGGAACTAGGAAACCACTGGCAGCTGAACTTAAAAATGTCTGTTATGCTGTGGTAGAAAATCTGCCTACATTTTGCTGATGCTCTAAGACTTCGCACAAGACTGAAATTAAGAGCATTGGACTAACCCGAGTTCGATCCCCAGTATCAAAAAAAAAAAGAGCATTAGACTAATTTATCCAGCAGAGGAAATTTCAAGGCAGCCCAATGTTGAAGCTATGGCATGGATATTATCAGGGATTTTTTGCAAAGTTTATAATGAAAACTGAGAGCAAAAAAAAGCCCATTTTGAAAGTTTTCAGCCAGGTATGGTGGCACATGCCTATAATCTGAGCACTCAGGAGGCCGAGGCAGGAAGATCACCACAAGTTCAAAGCCAGGTTGGGCTACATAGTAAGTTCAAGACCAGCCTGAATTGTATATTGAGACATCTCAAAAAAACAAAACAAAAAAATTTTTTTTTCAGTTTTGCCAGAAAGTACCTGCAAAGATGAAGCAGAGGAGAGCTTGGCTTTAATAACTAGCATAAATAAAACAAAACAAAACAAGTACTTGGATCAGGACAATTGGAAAAAGGCTTGAGGGAAAGTGAGGAGCCAGGAAGTCTCCAGGCTTTGCAGGCTCAAAGTTGCAAAAGTAAAAGACCAAGAAGAGAGCCCTTGGGCACCATATTCAAGACCTCCCACCTAGGGAATTTGTTCCCCAGGATTCCATTCACATTGCTCAGTCATCCAAGTACTCATGGGCCACTGTGGCCATGATGCAAAAGGGTCTGGCTACTGCTCAAGTTGGTGGCAGGTCTTGGGAGTTAAGCATGTGGTGCCATTTTACAGGCATGAGGAATGCAAGAGTTTGGGGGAGGGGCTGGCTTCCACCCAGATTTCAGAAGGCCTGGGAAGCCAGGCAGTGTAGCCATGATAGGATAGTATACAAAGCTATGACAGTGAAGCCAAAGGTGAGTGGAAACCCCAGAAAGTTGGAGAAGCCAGGACCATGTGATGTCTGAGGAAAGCCATAAGGAGTGAGCAAAGCCACCCCAAGAGAGAGGCCATGCAGGCTATAATCACAGAGAATGCCATAGAGGTAGGGCTGCCCAAGCCATTTGGAATTCATATCTCACCTCAGCTGGTCTTGGGAGCTAGACATAGAGCTATAGGACTTAATGTTGGCCCCACTAGGTTTAGGTTTCTTTCTTGCTTTGGTCCCATTCTTTTCTATCCCCTTATTTCATCTTTTTGGAATGAGAATGTTTAACCTGTGCCACTGTATGTTGGCAATGTTTAACTTCTTTTTGATATTTACAAGAGCTTATAGCTGAGAGTTTGCCTTAAGTCTGAGAGAAGACTTTGGACTTGGACTTTTCAGCAATGCTGTAACTGTAGGATGTTGGCAACTCTTAGAGATGGACTAAATGCATTTTGCATAAAGAAACTGCAGTAGTCTTTTGGAATAGAATATTACGGTTTATATCTAGATGTCCCACAAGAGCCTCATGCACTCATAGGCGGGGCTTTTGGAAGGTGACCGGATTATGGGGACTTATACTCGACTTGATGTAAATGGGGTCTGCTAAGAAGAGGAGGGTGACTGGGGACATGGCCTGGAAAGGTTTATCTCCCTCCCTGGCTCCTCCCTGAACTGTTTCCGTCCGCCATCCCACAAGCAGCACTTCTCTACCATGCCCTCCTGCTATGCTAGAGGGTCTCACTATGCTGTCTTGGAGCCAGCTGACCATGGTCTGAAATGTGAACCAAAATATACTTCTTCCTTTAAAAATAAGTAAGTAAATAATCTTAATCTACTACCACTTCTTAAAGAAAATCTTTTTTGGTACATTTCCAAAAATCACTACCATTTTCCCTGCTCAAGCGCTACTAACATTTCTGAGTTGCTACCAGGATATATATACTTCCTACGCCTTTCAAATCTGTACAGGAATAGGACAGATCAATTACATAAAAAGAAGGAATCTTTCCTCCTGTCATGAAAAAACAGAAATATATCTCTATTTAATATTCTACTGTATGATCTATTATTCTTTTTTTTTTAATGATCTATTATTCTTTATATTTTATACAAGACACCTAAAGCAGTTTTTTTTTTTTTGGTACTGGGGAATCGAACTTGGGCCCTTGTGCTTGCGAGGTGGGCGGCGGCACCACTGAGCTAAATCCCTGGCCCTACCTAAAGTAGTTTTTAGAAATAACTTGGAGCAAGCAAAGTACATAGCAATAAATTCCATGCAAAGTTATCTTATTGTTTCCAGTTTGATGGAAGATGGAATAAACGTGTATCAATCCTTCTCCCTCACTGAATAAAACTATAAAATGGGGACAGTGTGCATCTGGTTCTGGTATTTGAGGTGTCTGAAAAGTAACTAGCCAGAGGAGCAGGAAAGAATACCAGAATTCAAAATACCACTCAACTGGCAATGCGTCTGCTACGTGTTTTCTCCCTTCTGGTTCCCCTGGCCAGAATTTGATGTGGGATGAAACCAAAGGTGAGTAAGATGGTGTTGAAAGACAACAGTCCAGGAGAAATGTCCAGGCATGGAAAAAGCACTCCTTAGGACTGAGGGTACAGCTCAGAGGCCCAGGATGGTAGCCCCAGCACAGCCCCTAACTAAAACAAAGCTGCCTTGCTTTGAATATGAGCAATATCCCCAAAAGTCCAAGTATTATAGGACTGGTTGAAGCCAGGCCTAGTGGTGCATGTCTGTAATCCCAGCACTTGGGAGGCTGAGGCAGGAGGATCACCACGAGTTCAGGGACCACCTTGGCTACATAATTCAAGGACAACCTCCACTACAGAGTAAGGCCTTGTCTCAAAAAACCCAAAACAAATAAATGAATGCAGGTTTGGTTAGGGTACACTACTGGGAAGTGATGGGCCTAGTGAGAGGTCTTCAGGTCAGTGCAGTGTTTCTCTCAGTGGTGTACCTGTCTGTCTCTCTCTCCCCTCAATCTTGGACCAGAGCCTCCAGAAACATGAGCTAAAGAAACCTTGTCTCGGGCCGGGGATTTAGCTCAGTGGTTCTGCCGCCTGCCTCGCAAGCACAAGGTCCTGAGTTCGATTCCCAGTACCAAAAAAACAAATTAACAAACAACAAAAGACTTTCTGAACTGCTTCAGAAAGTGGTAAGAATGATGCGATAAGTGTCTGAAGCAAGAGGCAGTGTTTTGAGGGAGATTAATGGCAATGTACCTTTTACTGTAATGAACCTTTAAAAAAATTAAACACCATGTATTTGATCACGACTTATATACTGGAGGAGGATAAAAGAACTAATAATAATAACAACAAAAAGAATAATTAACTAAAATGAAGATGCAAATCTTTACATGTTATCAGGAGTTTTCATCACCAAATAACCATGCCGTTTCCTTCTATTTAATTATCTCCTACTCTAATTTATCAATTAGTCATGAGTTAAATTCATTATAAAATCAAATTTGGTACCCTAATTTGGTGCACAATAAGAGATATTAAAACGTACTAGGCCTAATTACAGTTTAATACACCATAGTAAAACAAAATGAGACCACTGAAGTTTAAATGGGCATTCCATTAACAGTGGAATTTGGTTTCTACTAAAAAATATAAGAATACTTAGCTATGCCAGAGAGGTAAAATGCCTAGGTTCTTAGAGTTGTAAAAGAAACTATTTTTATTACCTGCTGAACAGCAAGTGTACTGTCCATTTCATCAAACGATTCATCAGGCCAATTATAGAAATCCTATAAAAATAAATAAATGGTTAAAGCACAAAGTTACAAAGAGGATGCAGTAATATTAACTTCAGTTCTTAATACAGATCCCGAGCTCATACCAGAGAGGAAGCCTTTACAGTATGATTATCAATGAAATCAAGTAATTTTAGATAACATTTTAAAATGTATATCAGGATTTTAAAGCACATATTACCATTTTTTTCCAACCACAAATCCCTCAGTTATGATTCCTATTAGCCTGTTGTGTATTACTTAACTAGGGAGATAAGCCAGATACGTTTTTGTCTATGATGATTAAATATCTCTTAAAAAGTCTCCAGACATCAAAAAACAAATCAGTTTTTTATCTAAAGGGCTAACACCAATCATCAGTTGCTGATTTATGGTTTCATGAGTATTATTTTAGATAATTATAAATTATCACTCCAATACTAACTAGTTTAAAATTTCTAAATAGAAATCAGAGCAAGGGGTATGACTCAGGGGTAGCTCATGAGGTGTGTGTGAGGCCCTGGGGCCAAGTAACCCCAAGGTCTACTTTAAGGGGACCCCATGGGGAGGGGGGAAACAAATGCAGCCAAGTGCTATGCCACAGCCACTACAGCCCCAGCCCTCAACGGCACCTTGCTCTGGTTCTGAGTCCTCTACCGACTCTCCTAAGTGATTAAGAACCTTACTGTATCATTTTCAGCCAAGTTTACCTCTGTATCCTTAATAGGTAGCACAACACCTGACACATAGTTGGTCCTCAATAAGTGTTTCTGGGGTAAAACTAAGAAAGAAAAAAATAGTAGCCAGGGATCAACATATAAACCTCTCAAGATGGTAAGCCTTGGGCCCAGGTAGCTCAGTGGTGCCACCGCCTGCCTCACAAGCTCAAGGTTCCAAGTTCAATCCCCGGTACCCTCCACCCCAAAAAAGATGGTAAGCCTTCAAAATCTTGAGCAAACAAGCTGGGCATGGTGGCACATGCCTATGATCCTAGCACTTGGGAGGCTGAGGCAGGAGAATCACTGTAAGTTCAAAACCAGCCTAAACTACCCTGTCTCAAAAAACCAAAAACAGAAAATCTGGAACAAAAGCAAACTAAAAAAAAAAAGTGTAGGATACCACATGAAGAAAATGTTCAGATGACACAAGGCATATTTATGGCTGGAATGGGATGTATCAGGGGGAGAGCAGAAGGCAGGAAAATGTGACCCAAAGGGACTCAACTATCTTGGCAACATCTTAGTACTAAAGGTAGGTGATGCGTACACTTTTTACAAGTGTCTTAAAACACTGTATTATATCTTTTCTGTTTTCATAGACACCTCATCTGAAAAAAAAATACAGAACTAACTTCCTTAAGGGAAAATGTCATAACTTTAAAGGAAAATGTCAAGAAATAAAAGTCTTGGGCCGGGGATTTAGCTCAGTTGTTCCGCCGCCTGCCTTGCAAGCGCAAGGACCCGAGTTCGATCCCCAGTACCAAAAAAAAAAAAAGTCTTGGGGCCAGGGATTTAGCTCAGTGGTTCCAGTGCGTGCCTTGCAAGTGCAAGGTCCCAAGTTCGATCCCTGGTACCAAAAAAAGAAAAGAAATAAAAGTCTTCTACAACCTGTTCCAGGGTGCCTTTTCTAGACAGTATCTAAATATTAAAAAGCAGCTTTTAAATTCTTCCTACATGACTTACACCAAAACACATTTCTATCAATATGCTTTGCCCATTTTTTCATTTAAAAAGTTAAAGGTTGTATATTATTTTGTTTTTAAAATATTACCAAATATATATAGTAATATTCAGAAAAGATGCAAAGTTAATTGAGAATGAAATGCTTTGCCTCATTGTAACTGTAATGTATTTTAGACATCTGTGAGATACCAAAAATGCAGTTTAATAAATGTTCTCATCCAATTCAGTCAACATTTATTGAAAACCAACTCTGTGCCTATATTTTAGTCTAGCCCATTAAAAAAAAAAGTGGAAGGAAAAAAAGTTGGGATATACACCACTCTATTATTAAACTATCATTTTGGAATACAGCTGTTTTACTTAAGGAAATTCATGTGATCATCAAGAGCTAGGACTGTTGCTAAAGAAGTAATTTTTTCTTTTAATCCTAGTCTTTTCTTTGCTACATTTTACCAAACCCTGATTTATGACTGTGAAAAATGCAAAGGAACTTTCCTATACGTGCCATAATCCTAACAGTACAGCAAAACATGTGTTATATTATATATTTAAAATAAGTTTCCAAAAGTAGTAACTTTTGGCTAGGGGCATGGTTCAGTAATAGAACCCATCCATGCATACAAAAAGCCCTGGGTTCCACCCTGAGCATGGAAAAAAAAGTTGATCACTGCTAAATCAGAAACAATGTTGCCACAGAATGAAAAGTAGTTACCTGAAAAAGGGACATTTAGAAGAAATATTGCCTACCTAGCAATCTCCAGTAGTGCCAGTAAAGTACAGTAACAATGTAAAGCAACTCTATAATAAGATTTCAAAAACAATTCTCTGAAACTCAGTAGGAGAAGAAAAAAGAAAAATGATCACCAGTAAACTATGAATCTTAAGACAATTAAACCTTTCAAGCAAATCATTGATTCTCGCGGCTTAGTTTCCTTATGAGGTGCAATGGATCTGGGAAGATGTCTAGCTCTAAAATAAGCTCCTTTGGAAAGAGCCCCCCCCCACATTTCTGTGCAAGAAATTAAAATCTATTCTCAGACATGGAAGCGCAGCTCCACGCTGCCTTCTGTTTTCATCGCTTTCACATTTTAAGCACATTTCTTCCGACTTAGGAGCATCTCCTCCATGCCAAGCCATTTCATCTGGCGGATTCATCTGATCAAGTCTGAACGACAATTTAGATTTTTTTTCTTCCGTGAAGCATCCCGTCCTGTGTCGATCCCGAGCGACAGTGTCCATTTAGCCCAATCGCCCCTACAGAGTCGGCGGGATGTCACCAGCGGATTCCCACCTAGCTTTACTCAAGGCAGCAAGAGGAGACACCCAACATCCGGAGCCGCGCGCTGGGCGGGAGCAGGGCGCGGGCCGGCAGCGACCAAAAGAGAAGGAGGCGCCCGCGATCGGCCCCGCAGGCCCCGCGCCCAGCCTTCCCGGCCTGCCCGACTGCGGGGTCCGGATCCCGGCGGCCGTGCCCCGGGCTCCGGCGAGAAGAGGTGAGACCAGCCGGGCGCCGGGGCTGCCGTCCGGCCTCTTCTCCCCGCGGCCGGTGCCGACGCGGGCAGGCTCGCCCCGGAAGCGCAGGCCGCGGCCCACCGCCCCCGCCAACGCCCTCGGCCGCTCCCGCTCCCTGGCGCCGCAGGCCCGGCCGAGGTGCCGGGCAGGCAAGGCTCGACCCGGTACCTGCGCCTTGGTGCCCGGCCTGTTCCGCCTCAACACTGCCGTCCCCTCCGCCATGACCATAGTGCCAGAGTCGGAGCGGCCGGCGTCGGTACCCGGATGTCGGGGACGCTGCTGCCGGGGGGGCGGGGCAGAGGCGCGGCTGGCCGGGCTTGGGGAGGGGCGATAAGGAGGAACAGCCCGCGCCGCGCGGGGCACGACGGGAGAGAGGAGGAGCGGGCGCAGAGGGAGGGGAGGTAGAGCGGAACAGCCGCGGAGGCGCAAGGCATGACGGGAGGGGGATGGGAACTGGCAGCGGGCGGCGCGGGAGAAAAAGGGGCGGGGGTCAGGGGTCACCTGGAGGGGCCAGGGACCACCTACGGGAAGTCGAGAGGGTTGGGTTGCGCCGCGAGGCCGGGGCTGCACGGGGCGGGAGAGTCTGGCGGGCCAGGAAATGACGTGCTTCGAAGGCGGGACCTTCGCAGTGAGGAGTCCGGTGCCGGGCGTGGCGGCCTCGGAGCTGGCGGGGCTTTGCAAGTCTGAAGGGAAGGACTAGGCGGGAGCTCACTTCCCACGCTAGGGTTTCCTTTTATTTTTCCCGATTTCTGTCAGTGCCTGTTTGCTGTGCATGCGCATAGCACGTCTTCATTCTTCCCTCGCTCCCTGTCCCTTCTTGGTCCCCTCTTGTCTGACTTGTTTCACTTAACGTCACGGGCTTGGTGCATCCATTTTCCTACAATTTAATCAAGTTTATCCTTTAAGTGTGAGTGTTCTCCTAAACCACCAGACCCAGGTGGGCGCGACGGCACACACTTGTAATACCAGCACTCTGAGAGGCTGAGGCAGGAGGATTGCGTCGAAGTGGAGGCTAGCCTGGGTACATAAAAGTTCAAGGCCCGCCTGCCCTGCACAGCAAAATCCTGTCTCAAGAAAAAACGTGACACGCGACTGTCCTTGGGACTCATGCTAGCTAGATATTTTGGGAATTATGGTACTTAAGATTTATAAAACATTTTCTTGTAAAACTTTGAGTTCCATAAATATTAAACTTTATTCTCGTTTTCATGCTCTGGGGTAAAGGGAAAGAACTCTTGTGCACAATCTCCGTTCTACACAAGCCCTTGACCAAGCTCTTAAAATTTTCTTCTCCATTCTCTAAAATTAACCCTGGTTATCATGTTTGGACATTGTGATCTGTAGACTGACGCAAGATGAAAAGTGAAGGTTATGAAGTAGAAACATTGCAGCCCAGTAGAAAAACAGCTCTTCCTGTGAACAAGGCCACGGTTTCCACAAAAAGAAAATGTCAACGTGTCTTTGAGGATCCTGAGGAGCCATTCCATAGCCTTCAAAGACGAAAGCAGTGGACAAGAGAGGGTCTTGAGTGGGTCCAGAGCTGGGTGACTGGCAGTGACTAATTGCGTGCTCCCAGCGCCAGCTCCAAGGTGCTAACCCTGCTCACTCTTAGCACTTTTGCAACAGACTCTGGTCTTGTGGTCCCTGTGACCAAGGAAAGGGAAACCCATCTGCAGCCAAGGGACAAATGTCTTAGCCTAAGCCCGTGATTATTCAGGGAACTGTGGGGGATTGCTTTCGCATAAAGAAGTATTGAAGGAGGTCTCTGGAGGTTTTCTTCCGAAGGAGGAAATACCAAAGGAGATAGCTTTTTCCTGCCAC